CCTTGACTCTAGCGTCCTGAGGTGCTCTGATAGAAAGTGCGGCCCCCAGGGGTGGTGGGCTCTTTGTGTCTCGTCATCGTCTATGGCTTTGGGAATTAAGACGGCGCGAGCCGAAGATGGCTTTTTATTAGTGGAACGAGAGGCTTGCTTGTCTACTGGTGACTACCAGGAACAGGCTCTCAGTGGGAAAATCCAAGGTCTTCGAGTTTGGAGGACTGTGAAAGGCGCTCTGCGGTCACGTCCCCGGGGGTGGCATGAGACCCCGTCCTAGCCAGTCCTGTTTCTGTGGCCAGATTTGCCCTGCGACTTACTCCCCTAGCATGATAGTGAGGGCAGAGGGCAGAGCTGACCCCTGCCCACTGTCAATGCCTCGGGGCCGCCACAGGCCCCGGATCACCCGAGCTGAGCCTGGGTCTGCTTAGCGAAGCCAGTTCAAGAGGCTTTAGGACAGACATGGACTTAGGCCCCTGCAGCCACCTCCTAGCTCTTTGGTCTTGGGGCAGGTGTCCTCACCTGTGGCTTGGTAAGGGATGGAACAAGAGAAGGCACACGAAGCACGTGGCGACGTGCCTGGCACACGGTGGGCGAGCGATGAAGGAATCGCTGTGGGGATTGTCGAGGGTTTGGGGGTTTCTCGTTTCTTCTTGTTATAAGCGGCTTTCCAGTGTTCTTTGACGTTCGTTTTTCATGACGATTTACACAGAACAGTAAGATGAAACTGTCCACTCTTGGGCTTTTGTGACCTTGCCTCCTCCTTTCCGTTTCTCCGTTCCCTCGGCCACCGTCCTAGTCTGGCACCATCTTGCATTTAAACCATTAAAACTGTTACCCACCAGTGATCTCCGGCTTGTCTCCCCTCCGGCGCCTCGCTAGTTCCTATCTCCAAACTGTCTTATACAAAGCTGCCAGATCATTCTAGTAAGACTCTGCTTCGCACGATTCATCATTCTCTCAAGACAAACAAACAAACAAATGGAAAACTAATCCCCACTTTCGACACCTCTCTGCTAAGAGCGTCCAATCTCGTAGGATGACTGGCACCTACGTCTCCGCAAACTAACATACGAACCTCCCTTCAGAAAATCCTTCCCTCCAGGCAAAACGGTTTGCTCTCTGTCCTCCTGGCCTCCGTGTTCACAGGCCAGTCTCCCGACGCCTTCTGCTGAAGTGTCCCTCCGTCACAGGGACAGGAGGGTGACTCGAGAATAAAGGGAGACGTAGCTTTCAAGTCTTGGGCTTTTTTATTTATTAAGAACGCATATGAATTTTGTACTTCTATCACATAATACATCCACGTTTTGGGGCAGCGGCCACTGCCTCCTGTGAGATCCTGGGGTCACCACTCTTGGTCTTACCACTATAGCTTGAACTATTGACCATCTGTTCATGAAGAATTCTGTTCCCCTAAATGAAAGGTAGCCTCCTTGAGACAAAGCCCCACCTGTGACACCAGTGTTTGTCCCTGGGTGCGGCAGCTCTGATCCTTGAGCTCAAACAGCAACGTTTTCTGTATTCTTCAAAGCGTCTCACGAACGTTTTCATTTTATAGCGACTTCTTTTCTTTCTCCTCTGTTCTCTCTTGAATTCCCGTCCTCCGGATGGCATTTCCTTCTCCTTTGCTCCTTTCTCAGGTCTGAGTGAAACGAACACCGAGTGATCGAAAAACAGTCGCCACTTTTCTGGTGCTCTGCTTGAAAATGCCTCCAGCAACACAACAGAAAGAGCGAGAAGCAGCATCAGTGACGGCTGGCTGATTTATTTCTGCGTTCGTTTGTTTTTTGTTTGTTTGCGTTTCATCAAGGTCGGGCCCTGTGCTCAGAGATCGGTTTGACTTGCTTCATGATAACGCAACCAGCGGAGAATCCCTCGCTGGGGTCAAGTGGAACTTTCTCGGAGAGGACCTGAGCCCCTCTCGGCTTCCTGGGAACTCACTTCCTTTCTCGGCAGGGCCTCCCCCAAATAATTTCTCAATAACAGCCTCACCGCAGGGGAAGAATGACGAGGGCTGAGGACCCAGGGCAGGAAGGGCTTCGAAACAGAGTTACAAGGAGAGGCTCTTTGCCTCCGGTTCAAAACGGAGGTGGAAAACGTGCATCAGCTGAATTGCAAAATGTGACTGTGTTGTTTCCCCGCTCTCTGTGGGTAGAAACTACACACACACACGCACACACACACACACGCACCACACACCCCTGTTCTCCACCCCCTCCCCACCCTCCAGCTCATGGCATCCATCGCTTCATGCAGCCCAGGGAGGGTGGCCTCCTGGCTCCAGGTGAGAACGGACACTTCCAGCCGGTGCTGTGGCCACATTCTGGTTGCCATGGCACTGAAAACCGGGAGGTAAGCGCAAGGAACCGAGGAATCGTGCACCCACTGTGCAATCTTTCTCCCTCCTGTCGATTGGCCGAGCAGTTACTTATTAGTTTGAATCCTGAGAAGCCTTACATTTCATCACATTAAGGCGGTGGTTTCCGGTCTATTAATAGCAAGTCCATTTTCGCAGTAACGTCAACCATTCAGGGCAGAGTCCCCCAAAAACCGTCTCGCAGAATGATCTAAAGAGAGGCGGGGCCGTTGCTCTTTTATGCACAGACATTCTGATTTCCTCGATGCCCGCACCGACTTCTTCGAGACCGGGGGGGAGGAGGGGGGCCGGTCTGCGGGGCCGCGGTCGGTGTTAACCCGCATGCCGCTCGCAGACTGCTGCCTAGCAGCTGGGCGGCAAGGACGGTAAGGAAGAAGGAAGCGCGTGGAGCACTGTGCCGAGCCAAAGTTGTAATGTGGAGAGCAACTCTGCAGAAGGGAACAGAAACCTAAACGTTTTGGGAAGAATAAGCCCCCGAGCCGCTGTGCAGTCGAGTGCACCCCCTCCTAGTGATTTCATTTCCACGAGCATCCCACAGGCTGCTTCTCTGTCCCCGTTCAAATAACCCTCGCCTCCGGGGGGGCCGTAAAAATGATGCTCTAATAATGTGCCACATCTGCGATCGAAAACAATGAAACACTCTCAACGATCAGGGCGACAGGCTTCAAAGGACTGTTCTCCGGACTTACACAAAACCAGCTGGCTTCTTGTGGGAACTTTCCCTGGCACATTGTTTGATCTTCTCTGCAAGAAATTACACCTAAGCTAAGTGCTCGGGGCGGAGTCAGCATTTTTTTATTCGGCCGTGAGGACTCGCGGGCTCCCGGGGGACCTCTGAATCGGTGCTGTCCATTACGCTGCATGCGTAATATAAAATTCTCTCGTAGCCACACCGAGGGAAGTACAAAGACACGGTGACATCAATTCTAATAATGCATTCGATTTCACACACTGCTGGAGCCGCGAGATTATCATTTCAATGTGTAATCAATATGGAAACACTATTAATGAGATCACTTACGCGGGGTTTTGGTACTAAGTCTTCAAGATCTGGCGTGCATTTTATGTTCACAGCTTATCTCAGTTCTCAGCAGACATATTTCTACGAGGGCTCGGTCGCCACCCGTGGCCAGTACTGGATGAGACAGCTCTAGGGCAAAGAACTTCTGAGACAGTGGCCTGCAGCCAGCTCGGCAGGAAAAGCCTGAGAGTCTTAAGAAGAATGTTTAACCTCAGAAATTAAGAATGCAATGGTCCTGGGGGACTCCGTGTGGAGGTGACCACTGGCCGACAGTGAATGGGGGCGCAGGGGCAGAGAGCACTCTGGGAGAAGAGCATTGCACGGCGGTGGTCACAGGAGGAGTGGCAGGCGTGGCTGGAGCCAAGGGAGCAGAGAGGCTCGCGGTCACCCACCATCCCCACGAAGCCGCGAAAGCATTTGGGGGTTGGTCCTAAGAGAAATAAAAATACCCTGGCGGGTGTTAAGCCAGGGCACGTGGCATAGGGCTGGCCACCACACCCGGGAGTTCAGCCCTGATGGGATGACCCCCCGTGGGAGCTGGCTTCTCTCCGTCACATGTCCCGGACTCTTAGCCACACCCAGTCACCTTCCAAATTGTGCCAAGGGATCCCAGATGAGACCGTGGTTGAACCACCACGAGACGGTCCGCAATATGGGAAATGGCTCGACACACATATTTTATTAAATACTGTCAGCCGGCAAATCGTGAGCGCATTCATTCGTCCATTCACTCATTTGTGTGGCCCGTATTTGGGGACACCTATGATGGGCCTGGCGTTATCAGAGGCTCTGACACTGGGGTACAGCACATTTCAAACTGAATAACGTGACGAGCACTGGGCACGACGCTGGACGTGAGGGTGCCGACCTGATCCTCTTAGGGAGTGTGAGGGGACACAGCTGACGAAAGCTGCGTAAGGTAGTCTGTCCCTCCGTGGTGCACATAGTTTTTCACTATTCATGATGTGTCTTCTCATGAAAAGAAAAACACATCTTAATCTCATAAAACTCACGCCTCCAGCCCCCTACGATATAGCACTTTGCAAGATGTTTGTTTGAGTTCCCAAACGGTTTGTATCATTGGGTGCCTGTTATGTGCCCGTCCCCGAGCTTGGCACAGGAAAAGAAAAATAAACAGGACATTGGGGTCGGTCAGGAGCTAATGGCTTAGTTGGGCAGAGTGACGCATCTCCACAGACTCTTTACATTGGACGGTGGATCTGCGGTGGCTGAGATGTGCACAGGGTCCTGAGGGTCATGGGAGGCACGGGGCGACCCGGAATTAGCGAGGCTTCCTGAAAGAGGTGACACTTCAGCTGCGTCTCTTCTGTTTCTTTGTTTAGTGGCGTTTATTTGCTCATTAAGAAATTTCAAGTAATTCATGCAAATGTAGACAAGAGGCTAAACCTTACTCCATCTCTCTTCACCTGGAGATAATCGCAGCTGACATTTTGGTGAATACCCTTCCAGGTGTGTGTGCGTGTGTGTGTGTGTGCGTGTAAGGATAGTGTATGTTTGATTATCGTCATTCAAATTGAGAAAAACAAACACATTCAACTGTAGCAACAGACCCATAAAAAAAAACTCATCCACCAGCCGAAAACACGTGTCTGCATTTTATTTTAGGAAAACATAAATCGGGTCTCGAAACATCTTCAGAAAGCAGGCCAAGTCAAGGGACACGCAGAGCGGCTCTGAACAACAAGTCTGAGGCCACGGCCATTTTTCGAGGGGCACCGCGGACACAGAGCTATTTTTTCCAGGAAAAGCGGGGTTCACTCAAGCCGCGAAGCCCGTCAGATCTTTCTCCTGCCGAGCAAGCGAGCGAGCGAGCGAGGGACCTCGTTCTGCTCAGGGGCTGAGATGCGATGACTTCCAGGTATTGCTCGGCCGCGAGCCAGCGCCCGCCCCGCGTTCAGCAGAGAGCTAGGGAATGAGGAGCAGAGGGGAGATGGTGGTGGTGACCGTCTTTATGTAGTTTTCGAAGTCGCTTCCGAAGAAGAAGATGAGGTAATAGTTGGCGACGCCGGCGAGGGACATGAGGAACAGGAACAGTATGATCCGCTTGCCGAATATGTAGCCAGGTGTGCTGTAAGAGACGGGAGAGGAGGCTGTACCAGCGGCTCCGACTGCGCACGGATCATGCCCCCACTTGGAGGGGTGTGTGTGTGTGTGTGTGTGCGCGTGTGTGTGTGTGTGTGTGTGTGTGTGTGGTGTGGGGGCAGGGCTGGAGTGACAGCTCCCTTTCCTGGAGGTGCTCCATTTCCTTCCCACTGGCCAGGGAACACGTCTGAGAACTGAGCCTGAGGAGCCCTCGTCATCCGTGCTCCCCTGGGTGCCTCCTGGAAGGCAGCTCCCCCATGGCGGTCCCTGCCGGTCACCAGGAGCCCTGACGGGGGTCAGGAAGCCCATCCCGCCATGCGGGCCCCTCACCGGCCCCGTCCGGCAGCACCTGAGTGAGCCTGCCGGCAGCTGCGTGATGCAGGCGTTGAAGGGCCTCGGGGGAGCAGTGAGGATGCAGACGGGGCCTCAACCTAAAAGGCACTTTGGCGTCTGAGGGGTCCGCCCACCCGCCTGGGAATAACTCGCGCTCACTCTAAGGAGAGCTGGGCCCCCAGCGAGAAGATGGGCGTTTTCAGCGAATGCAGACAGAGGATTTATGCTAAATCCTAAGCTGCCCAGGCTTATGGTCAGCTGGGGTCAGGGGTGTGTGATCGCCTACTCGTGTATGGCCACCACCCTGGCCCCCTCCCTCCCTCTGCTGAATCCTGTGACCACTGTGACTGGGTCCATCTGCGTGGCGCTAAGTCCGGCCAAGCGGCTCGTTCAGGCCGTGATATGGACTCAGCAAGGAGACCTTTTGGCCCCCAGGCCAGCCGAACAGGCGGGTCGACCCTGCTGAGCCTCTTCCCTGCCACGTGATTGTGGAGAGCGAGTTTGGCTTCCACGGGTTTAACGCCAGAAATTCTACCTTTTTGAAAGGGACCCCGAAAGTTTGCAGTGTGACCCGTCATTTCCCCGTGCCAGGCATGCCAGAACCCGCAGTGGGTGAGCAGCGGCCACCTAGCTGCTCCAAACTCAGTCCGCGGGCCAGCGGCTTCGGCGCGGATGGTGGGAAACGCAGGATCCCGGGCCCCTTGGGAGCCACGCGTCAGAACTCCAGGGCGACAAGCTCCCTTGGGGACTCCGGGCACAGCAGAGTCTGAGAAGCACCGCCAGCTGGGGTGCCCCTGCCCCCCCAGCCATCTGTGTCCTTCTCCCCCTGGCTTTCTGGGTCCACAGTCACGCTCATGGACTGAGACGTTCTATCGTTTTATTGGAGGGGAAAAAATGTGGTCCCAAAAGGGAGGGTTATGGGTTGAATTGTGTCCCACGCCCTGGAGTTCTAAACCCCGGGGCCTCCGAAAGCAGCTGACTTTAGAGATACGGTCTTTAACGAGAGAATAAAGATAAAAAGAGGTCACCGGCGTGGCCCTGACTCTGACTGGTGTCCTTGTAAGGAGAGGGGCTCTGGACAGACACACACAGAGGGAGGGCCGAGTGAGGGCAGCCGGGGGAGACGGCCGTTTCCACGCCGAGGGAGGAAGCCACGTCCGGACCGTGACACACCGAATTTCTGTTGTGTCGGTCACCCCGTCTGTGGCAGCTGCTACGGTGGCTCTAGCAGGCGAATACTGAGTCACCTGCTCACGCTGGTAAGGAGATGAAAAGAAAGGACAGGAGTCTGTTTTTCCGACTGAGAACAGAGGGTTTGGAGGGGTTAAATTGTGAGAAGTCAAATACAGTAGTGGTTGAGATCTCTCTCGCGCGCCTGAGGCCACTGATGCTCAGATATCAGGCAAAGGGATTTGGGAAGCTGCTTCGGGTAGGACGTGGCGGTGCCTCCCGATGACAGAGCGCTATTCTTGAATGTGGGCAGGATCTCTCAAAGGTCTCAGGGACTGCCACCCCAAGGAGGCCCGTCCACGGCGCCTTAACCCCTCCCAGGCCGTGCAAAAGGCGTGGAAGGCTAGAGCTGGCACACGGCCACGCGTGCAGGGCCGGTGTGGACACGGCCCCAGCCGGGCGCTCGATGGGCTTAGAGCCAGGCTGAGGCCCTGCGGGGCAACAGGATGCTCATGGAGGATGCAGACCTGCCCCAGGCTCAGGCAGAGCCGCAGAGGACCGCCGTGAGGCAGAGCGCGGGGACCGGCGAGGGCCCACGGCACACACTGCGCGCTGGACTCGGGTTCACACCGGCTTCTCCTCTACCGCTGGTGTGTGGGCTACGAGGGGCGGGGGCTTCGGGATTAAATCACTAAGCATCTGTAGGGACCAGGTGTTTCGTATCCGGGACGTCATTCACGACAGGAAGACGTAAAAGGGGCCCAACGAGCCCCAGCTCCAATGTGGCATGGGGTGAGAGGTGACCAGGCGGCGTCTGGACCCAGGTTCCCGCCCCAGCCACGTGGCTTCGGGCGACTCGCCGACCCTCTCCCACCTCACACAAAAACTTTACGGTCCCTCTGGCTTTAAAATCCTGTTCCTTTCAATAAGGAAATAGCACTCTAAACCTGGTGACTTCCGAAGGGACTAGAAACGACAAGCTCCACGAGACTCAGATGCTGTCCCTGTGGTTCACCCAGCGAATCAGGCCCTCAGCAAATGCGTGCTACTGAGCGAGTCGTCCTGACGAGAGAGGCACGAGCAGCCTCGAGGGGTCCCCAGTCACCTGAATTCAGTGGGCCTTTCAACAGGGGACAAAGCTGTGAAGGGCAGGAAGAGAAGGAGCAGCCCGGTGCCCACTGGTGAAGGTCAGCGACAAAAGTCAGTGAGCCTCGTAACGGAATATCGACTGCCATTGAGTCTGGGCCCAGAGAGTAGCTTAGAAGGAACGGGGAAGAAACTGAGATTGACCCTTCACTGCCGTGCAGTTGGCGGGGGCTACAGGCGAGTGATCGGGGCAGGGAGGGAGGGGCTGGGCGGGGGGACGCAGGACTGAGAGCGAGAGCCATAAGCTTCTGGGGGGGTGAAGGAGAGAGCTGCAGAAGCCATGAAGGAAGATGCTCTGGTGGGACAGACACACCTAGGGACGTCCTCCCTGCCCTTGGGACCCCTGAAGGGGTCGAGGCCCAAGCCTCTTCTGGGGAAAAGCAGCAACGCCCTCGGAGCCCGAGGGAGAAGTCTCGGGGGAGGAGCTCGCTGAGCACATCTTCCCCGCCGGGGAGGCCAAGGACCGGAGCGGTCCCGAAGGCATTGTGGCATTGTGGCGGCTGCAGCATCATAGTGACACAGCCCAGGACAGAGGGGGGTGGACGAAAGGCGGGGTTCGCCATGGGAGAGGGTATGAGCGCGTAGTTTCTGGAAGGCAGAACTGAAGACCCCGTCGGACCGAGTCGCAGAGCCCCCGAGGTGCACCCACCCCAGGCTGCGTTTGGGTCCCCACGGAAATGAGCCATCCAGCCTGGAGCATGGGGCGTCATTCCCGCCGCTGAGAACTCCGTGCTAAGGAGCGCTGTGAGGCCACATTTGGTCTCAGCGGGAAAGAGCACCGTGACCGGTCAGTGACGACCGCCGGGGACGCGGAGTCGGTGAGGAGGGCGGAAGGCAGCACAGGCCGTGGGGAAAGGGGCAGGCCAGACCCTCCTACTGCCATCTAATCGGGGAGACCCCGGGGAATTTGAGAGGCGAGGCCATTTATAGCTCAAGGAGGTCTGGAGAAACCGCGTATTTTCAGGTGTGTAGTCTGCATCCTACCGTTTATTTTTGCCACCTCTGTCCACCCCCTGGTAGTAATTAGCTTTAAAAGGAAAAGAGCCAGGGGCAGACAGGCGCATTTCGTCGAGTGCCAGGGATCGTCTTAGAATTAAAGCAACTTTAAGACCCACCCCCAACTCCTGACGACAGGCAGTCTGCCGGGGAAGGCGGAGTAGATGCTTTTTCTAGGGTAGAAGAATAAAGGCTACCGTCGAGGGCGGTGTGGAGAAGGGGGAGAGGAGATGGGGTCGTGGTTTTAGACGGGGAATCGGAAGGCCCCCCGGGAGGAATGAGGGGCCGTGAGCTGGGAAAGAACCATGGGAAGTCCTCCTTCTCCTCCCGGCTGCCTGTCCCCCTCGATCCCCCCCGAACCTCAGCTTTGGGCGCCTGGCTCCCCAGCTGCAGATGCTTCCGCCTGCCGACCTGCCAGGTGGGGACCTGCCACCGCCTCTGCCACCGCTGAAGGATGCTCATCAGCCACCGGAGAAGCACGTCTGGGCTCACAGGCCAGGCGGCATGTGAGCCCAGATGAGGGACGATGCCGGGGAAGGCTGGGCTCGGGCCGCCTGCCCTCCGAGGCGCACTGTCACCCGACCGTCTCTTCGGCGAGTGCCATCATGGACCTGACTGAAATCGGACTTCCTGACCCGGGTGGGGCAGCAGGGAGATGCGACTTTGGCACCTCCTATAAGCCGTGCCGTGGTGACCGTTCTCGGACCCCACCCTCTGCCTGCGATGGCATCTCATCTCCCCAGCATTCTGCTGGTCCCCAGTCGGTCTGCCACTCGAAGAGAACTTAGCACGAGGCACGAGCGTCAGTTGTCTCCTGTCTAGGCAGACAACGAAAGGCTTCTCTCTCTGGAGGCCTGGGGAAGCCAGACAGAGAAGCCGTCCAAGCCCCCCACCCCGGCGGGTGGGAGTGGGGGGCGTGGGGGTTGCGAGGAGTGTGCCCTGAGTGTCTTTGCAAGCCTGATAACGCTGGATTGGGGGGGGCGGGGTGGATGGTGTTTAACAGGAGCCTGGGTCAAGTCAGAGTCCGCAAAGTTCAGGGATAGAAGCCCCCTCTCCCAGCCCCTGCCGTGGCCCGCCAGACCCCTGAATGCCAGGCAGAAGGTGGCCGAGACTGGTCACTCTTCCGGCCCGAGCAGCCTGGCTCCCTGTGGCCCTCGGTGCGCCCCGCGCCTACCTCTGCGTCCGCTCTCCGAGGTAGCCCACGAAGTACTTCTGCCTCACGAACAGGTACATGAGGCCCGCGAAGGCGGCGGGGACTGCGAGCAGAAGGGGGGACACCTGTGTTAGTCAGCCCGGCAGACGCCGAGACGTGCCGAGTTAGCACGACGCCAACACGGGCACCGTGCGGTCGCTGTGGGTCGCAGAACCTGCCCGAGGCCCCCGGTGCCGACGGCAGGTCGGTGTGAACTCCGGCAACGGCCTCGGGCATCGTGCTTTGCCTCCCGAGGTATTTTCACGTTTCCAGATGTGGCAGCCTGGGCTGGTGTGGCGGTGGGGGGAGGGGCATGGGCAGCCTTGAACCCTGAGCCCAGCTCTGAGCCTGGGTCTCTTAAAGGGACCCCCTACGCCTCACAAAACACAAAAGGCACTGCTTGTGAGGTTCGCCCTATTCTCCGGAAGCCACGAAATTGTCACAGTTCACCGTGTGTTCTCCCGTTTGTCCCACCTGGATGGCTCTGTGCTAACGCAGCAGCCCGTCTCCCCTCCCCTCCCCCTCCCAGGGCCGAACAGTAACAGGAGTCGGGTGGGCAATGGCTGGGCTCCGGGCCAGGCACGGTGCACGCCCTGGCGACCTGGGCCACCCAGAACAGCAGTGGGGGCAGCGGGGGGGCGGGGCATAGTGGGCTCACCTCTGGGCTCACAATTCTGAGGTTCGAGCAAGCCACTTGCCCCTCAGGGCTTGGGCTCCTTGTCTGTGACATGAAGGGTTTAGAGTGATCTCTGAGGTTCCTCTCAGCTAAAAATTTCTACCATTTACTATATTGATAAGACAATTACCAAACCCGGCTGACTGACACCTTTGTCCGCTGGAGACGCCCACACTTGTGTCGACAGGAAATGCACTGTCCCAGGCTGACACACCTGCAGACTCCCCGTGTGTGTGTGTGTGTCTAGCTAGAACAATTCTACATTCGTCTAGACCCCTTGTCATCCGAGACACAGGAGGAATCGTCACGCCTAGAATGAGTGTCGTTTGGCTTGACGTTTCAAGAAATGCTGGACAGGATGGAAAGTGGAAAATAAGCAGTGAGCTTACCAACGGC